TATTTTCAAAAGTATAACTTATTTTTCATATGTTAACGAATAGACTAATTGCAATAGAGGAAAAGAAGACTAAATGGATAAAAATAACAAATAACAAATAACAAATCAACAAGAAGTCATTTTCACTCTCCACAAGCCTTAATTAATAGCCATCCATGCATCGCTTTTCCCGTAAAAGACTTCTTTTTGGTGAGAGAAGATTTGGGTTTACTTAAGTTAGATGTACAAAAAAATACGATTTTGCCAATGTTATAAAGTTGTTGTTTGAAATTTCAATTTGAAGATGGAGCATTTTATTCAATGAAAAAGAAATTGTTTCTGTATAGTTTTCTCTGTGGATTTTTCTCTTTTTTTATTTTTATTTTCTCTCATCTCCTTCACAGTAACCAAATAAGAATTTCAATTGAAAAAATAAATGTTGAGGATCTAAGCAAGTATAGAGAGAGAGGCTTTTTAGGTGTGTAATTGAGAAACCCGAATATTATTGTCTTGTCTTGGTTTTTTTTAGTGAAAATTTTAGATTTATAATTAGTAATTTGATTTTATTATTTCTACATTTATTGGGATTTTAAGGTTCTTTTGCAAATAATATTTACTGGATGTGATTTTAATTTTAATTTTGATCGCATATTGAGAATCGTAAAAGTTGGGTTTATTTTGTTTAGATTTTTAAATAGAAGGTGATTGCAAAGAAGTTCGTTTTGACTAAAAATAAGCTAAGCGGACAAAATGCAAACTATTATTGTGTGCTTTGAATGATTAATGTATGCCATGTTAGCCAACTCTACTATTTCTTTTTCTTTTTTTTTTTTTTAAATATTGGGGAGGGATTCGAATCTGAATATATTGTAATATTATATATTCTTTTTTTTTTTTTTTAAATATTGGGAGAGGGATTCGAATCTGGGAATATATTGTAAATTATATATATAATATATATTTATTTATATAGGACTATGTTATATATATTTATTTATTATTAGACTATGTATTGGTATATGTCAAGTCTACTATTTTCCTTATTTTGAAAATGAGACAATAAAATATTGAAAAAAAATAATACTTCACTCATTTTCTGTCTAAATTTACATGTTCTGGACCTCTCCAATTTGAAAAGAAAATAATAAAAAAAATAAGAAATTTCACTTATTTTTATTAAATTATCCAAATATCCCAAATAATTATAATCACATTTTATTGTTTAAAAATAAATGGAGGTATAATTGTCAATTTTTTCAATAATAATATTTTATTTTTTTTAATTTGCTTTTTCTAAATAAAGAAAAATAAATTTCTTTATTTTTATTATATCTGAAAAAAAAAACTAAAAATAATTATAGAAAGAAAATTAACAATTTTCAATCCTGTTAATAATTTATTTAAACAGCAACATTATCAGATTGTATAATTTGCAGTTACCAAAGCAATATAGTGATAATAATGATTGTTATCACAAGGTTTACATTGTCTGCCTCTCCATCTTCAACTGATCTATGCATATAATTAAATATCTTATACTAAGATATATGATGTTAACAACCAATGTACATAAAATCTAAGGATTTTTTTTTTTTTTTTTTTTTTTTTTTTTTTTTTTTTTTTTTGAAAATGATAAAATCTAAGGGTTCATGAATGTACTTTTATATATAGTTTGGGAAGTAGGCTTTATTAAAAAAAATTAATATAATAATCTATAAAAAAACTATTATGATTTTTTTTTTCTTTTTGTTTTTTTTTGTTTTTCTCTTCCAGATGATCCTTTTCTTATGATTTTGACTAAGCATTAAAATAAACAAACATGTCTATTTTGATATTTGGCAGGATTGAAGTTTACCAAAATATAGTGGATTTATATGTTAATTATCCAAACTTGGAACAAGCAAACTAACATGCTCTTTTCCCTACAAAGTCTTGTGGTTGTCTGGTAGAATATATATATATATACTATATATAATATATTATATATATATATATATATATATATATATATATATATATATTATGTTTCGTTGCCCGAGATATTTAGTAAGTTTAAAAATTTTATTTATTAAATTCATTAATTAGAATTTTTTATTTAAAATTTTTAATATATGCCCCAACATCATATTTGAGTTTTATTTATTAAATTATTAATTAGCAATTTTTTATTTTAAAATTTTAATATATGCAACATCAATTTGAGTTGACTAATATTTTTTTAAAAAACTTTAATTTTTTAAACTTTTTTCAATGTCACATGATGTCGAAAAATTTTATCCTTAATTGCAATTCAATGTGTTGTTGCTAAAAAAGGTTAAAATTGTGGTAAATTTGACATAAATATCTAAATAGGGTAAAATTATAAAACTCTAAAAGTTCAAAATATTTTAATATATCAAACCTTTTTTTTTCTTTGGTATAACCAGGAGGTGTAATCTCCCTCGAGCCGTAGAGCGTAAAGGTAAATCCTCCCAGTAAGGTGCGGTTTTCGAAAATCAAATTTATATTTTCACGCTTACAGTGGTTGAAGTCACTTACCATCTACATCAACACTTCATTAGTAAAAAGGAAAAGCCTTCAATAATTTGAATAATGCAACATAGTATCTCTTGTTTAACAATTTTAATAGATTTCACAAATTAATAATGTTTATTAAATTTGTCAGATAATTTATGAAACAAAATTTATATAAAACTAATTTAATAATTAAAAAAATAGTATTTCTGATTTCATAATAACAATCATATGATATGAATATAGGCGTCTCAAAATAATTAAAAGTTACATGTTTATAAATCTTTTTTTAATATTTCAATTAATGTACAAAAAGCAATTATCAAAAATATGATTAGGAAGGCAATAATAAGGGGGAGATAAAAATGTTTTTCATATGAGTTATATATATATTTCAAAAATGATTATCTGCCTCCCTATTAGTCACCAGATGACTATTCACAGTTAGGACTTTATTTTTTGAATCCATAATCTCTTATCACAAAAGAACAAATTATTTACAGTATCATAAACATTTTTTCCCTTATAAAATATCTAAATAAGATTTGATAAATATCTAAATAAGTTCATCATATTATCTTGTATGTCCACACGGGCTGCCCATGATTCTTCTACAACTAGCGGAAATACTCTTGAATATTTCAATAATAACCCATAGGTCAATTTGTCCTTTCTAAAGGTTAAGCCTTCCTTGGAATCCTGGATAAACCAAATCATCAGTCGCTTTTATTAGCATCCTGATATCTTAATAAAATCTTAACAGATCCATATAGCGTGTCAAAAAAGTTATTCGATCCAAAAATAATTGTGAGCATGCTAGGCATGCATCTATCAGGAGCGCCTTCGAATAAGTAGACAAATGGGCCAAGCCTGTTTTCTCTGAAAGAAGGGATGAGAATAAGAAGAATTCAAAATGGTGAAAAGCAACTATAAGAGAGATGGAAGAGAAATATAAGAAATTAGAAGGTTAGAAAAGAAAAGCGGGTACAAAGTAACTTGAATGCACAAGGGAAACAGGTTTATTTATATAGATTGGCATGGCTAATACAACAATAGCTATATCTGTTTACAAGGGTCCTAAGAGTGCTCTCCAAGAAAGATGCACCTTTTAAAAAACTTGTATATAATACCCCAAAATATTCTATACATGTACAATATTTAGATTTATGAGTCTTAGGCCCAATAGGCCCTCTTGGCACTTATCCGTGCAATTAAGTTCTTATCAATTCGGGCCTCTATTTGGGTCGACATCAACAACTATAGAATACATTAAGTTTGGATTTTCATATATTGTTTATTTACAATTACCTTCCTAACTTTTTGGGAGCTTATTTGAAGTCAATAAATTGTTTTGATTATATATTTGCAGTATAGTATTTATTATAAGTATGACTTTGTGGAGATTTTTTGTAACTATATATTTCAAATGGTGATTTCTTTGTGTAAGTTCAAAAAAATTGTACTACCTCCATCTCGAACTTTCTATTTTCACATAGATTAAGAAATATAGTTAAAGGATAATTTTATTCATATAACTTTTCTATTATGTCCATCTTAAATAACACATGAGTATTAAAATAATAATTAATAATTAATGAGGGTTATTGAAAATAAGATAATTTAATAAGGGTATAGTAGACAATTCAAGAATTAGCTACAATGCAAAAAAAGGAAAATAGACTATATTTTGGAACAAACTAAAAAGGAAAGATGGACTATCTTTTTGGACGGATGGAGTAGTCTTTTTTTTAAGTTTATTTAAAAATTAAAATATGATTTGATATATGCAGTTTTTTATTTATTTAAGAAAAAATAAATCCAGTTCAGAGTAAGAAATAACAAAACCAAACTGTAATATTTCAATCTGATTTTGTCGGATTTTCACACATAATTAGTTTTTTATAATCTAAAAAATATCAAAAAGAAGGTTCGATTACATTTGCAAAATATGTGAAAAGCCCACAAAACTAAACTGTATAGGTCCCTTATAGTCTATAAGAGTAAAAGTTTAAAGATCAGTAATAAGAATATTTCTGATTGCATTTGCAGGCCCATCTACCATCTGCTTGTCAGCAGCTGATCCAATGCCTAGAAACAATCGCAATCGTTTTTTTTTTTTTTTTTTTTTAATTGCCTAGAAACAATCGCAATCCGTTTTTTTTTTTTTTTTTTTTAAAAAGGAATTCCACAATCAAATATTTACTACTTTTAAAATTTTAGAAAAAAATGATGGCTCAGTTTGTCTTATACAATATTGTACAACATTAACTTTTTTTTTTTTTTTTTTTTTTGAAAAGAATCACAATCAAATATTTACTACTTTAAAATTTTAGAAAAATGATGCTCAGTTTGTCTTATACAATTTGTACAAACATTAACTTTTTTATTAGTTAATATTTTTTAATATTTTAATGATAAAACTATACTTAATTTATAAAGTATTTAAAACATTAGAAACTATTAGCAAAAGCAGGAGTGGTTTCTTCAAACCCATGAATACTATTTTCCTGACAAATAAAAGCTGCTGCTTTATAACAAGGAAAGCCAAGTCAAGTAGAAGAAATAAGTCCAGCAGGTTAAATTACAATCTACCTGGCAGTAAAGTTTGTTTTCATATGAAAAGATGTTCAAGAAAGTCAATATCCTAAAAGGGATCCTGATGGTCAAATCAGAAGACCAAATACACATCACTTTGACTAAACTAATTCCTAATGAAATAAAACTTCATATTCCCTGCATCATCTTCTTCCATTTTCTCCAAAAAGTGTCAACCTTTCACTTCATTGAGAAGCTTAAGCCAAAATGGTCAAAGTGAAAAAAATATATACACAAGATAGCAAGTGAAGAAATATATACCTAACCTATACATATATGTAAGTATATCTAAAAGAGTCATCTCAGATTGCATAGAGTTTCTTATACTCATTCTCCAAAATCTCTGATTCTGCCATAATAGACATTGATCCTGATAATGATCTGCTCATGGATGATCTCCTAATACTTCGCAATTTGGAAGACTCAATTCTTTGAACAATAACCCAATAGCACATTGTTCCAATAGTCGTTACCATAATCACTGTCCCTATACCAGTTATCCAAACAGCCAACCATCTTTCCTTATTTCCCACAACAACAAATGCCAGTGCAAGAAATGCAATAGATATAAGTACACAAGCTAACCACATTAGCTTGTTAATAACTGACATGAGTTGTTTTTTTGCTTTTCGCTCTATAACTACTACAGATGTTTGAACAACCACGACAGCAAGCGAAATGAAGAGAGCAATAGAGTCAAAGATTATGAATATCATGAACTCAGGTCGTGAAGCAGCATTTGCTTGTCCTGCAGATTGTCCTGGAGCAAGATGCTTTGGGTCATCCGCGAATTGGCCAGGGACTTGGTAAATAGCAGCAAAGGCAACAGTTGCAATAAGTACAGCAACAACAGTTGTTGAGTTTATTGCATTGTTTAGTCCTTCTGTATGCATTTTGTTTACCCTCTTGGCTATACCTTGAACTCGTTTACGCGTAATGCGTGTGGTTTGAAGCTGGTTGTGAACCTCATGTTTAATGTCACTTACAGTTTGTTTGAGTTCACGGGCGGTGTTTGGTTTCATGGATTTCGCAGATTGTACGCTGTGCTGTTCTAAGATGGATAAAATTTCAGAATGCCCAGTTTTCTCAGCACTGTCAAAGGCTGTTTCTCCTGATTTGTTAATAGCTATTTTGTCAAGTCCCTTGTGGTCAAGCAGCTTCGAGACAATCTGCAACAATTGGTTACACTTACAATTCAATCACTTAATAGCAATAAGGGCATTTATTGGCAACTTTACCTCTATGATCTATCTATTGATTTAATACCATAGTTGGTTTGATTCACTAGAAGTATGAATCCAACAAAAGGCTCATTTCAAATGTAGATAGAGGCTAATTGTAATAACCTAAAAGGAATTCCAATTAGAATTTTTTATAAGAATCTGAACTAACTACTATTAACTCGTTCGGGTTTGCTTCGAAGGCCATGTGTTTACGCTAGTCCCACCTAACTTGTCAGGCCAATGGTCTACACGGGCCCGGGTCCTGAGAGATGATTATTGAGGTCAAAGATGTATGATTCATGCTAATTCTTAATTGTTTACTATTCTTTTGATACATCAAAATTCTTCTAGGGAGGAAGATTAAAGTTTGAACCCTTAAAACCCTTGCTTTATAAAATATGCATTGAAATACAAGCCAATTTGATTTCTCATTTGTTGAGGAAATAATTAGCACAAATTCTTCAAATAAGCAACGAAAAATTTGGGGTAAATGGTAACATGGATAAAGGATTATATACCTGAGCTCTGCCCTTGCGGGCTGCAATATGTAAGGCAGTGTTGCCCTTAGAATCAACCATGTTTATCAAAGCAGGATCTGACATGATCAACTCATCAACTAGCTCAACTTTCTGTCCTTTAACAGCCATATGGAGAGCTGTTTGACCTTTCTTATCAATTCTTGTTGCTATCCCTGGTTCTTTATTCACAAGAGCCTTTAGAATCTCCAAATGCCCATTTCTTGCAGCTGAATGCAAAGCAGTTTTGTAATTGCTTTTAGCTATGGAGACCAAATTGCTACTACCCTTTTCTAAAAGGAAATTCACCACTTCAACATGGCCTTGTGAGGCAGCAGAATGTAAAGCAGTAGTATTTGATGAATCATAAGTCATTGCAAGATCAGGATTAGCCTCCATCAGAACAACCAATGTTTCTGCACAATATAATTAGTGTTTAAAATAAATCATTTAGATTTGGGTTCTATCGTGCTAATTAAATACAAAATCAATGGTATAATTGAACTCACCCAATTCACCTTGCTTAGCAGCAATGTGAAAGGCATCACAGCCATTTCTTGCTTTAATACTAGCAGAACCTGTATCATAGTATTTCATCATCTCCTTAACTAAATCAGCATGGCCACACTCTGCAGCCACATAAAGCGCAGTTTCTCCTGATTGGTTCTGTTTTGATAACATCTCTTTCAACTCTGCCTCTGCAGTTTCAGACATCATCTCCCTAACCATTTCCAAATTTCCTTCCCTCGCCGCCGCATGCAACAACGAATCGTCTCTTTTCTTTGTCAACTGTTTCGTCATCTTCGTCTGCCAGAAACTTTTCTGTCTCACCGGACCCTCCATTAAAACAAGAAAATAAAAAAAGATATTCAAAAAAGAACTGTGCTCTTCGTCTTCTTGTTCTTGTTCCCGTTCGTGGTAGGGCTAATCAAGATTTTCAAGATTCGATGATAGACAAAGATCAAGAATCATATCATGGCAGTATATGGTATGGATAAGAGCAGTGTGCACGTGAGGAACTTAGGAGGTGGGTTCCTTGAGAATCGAGATGTATTCATATGCCTCTTCTTCAAATATTCTGCAACAAAATTTTGGTATTAAATTACAGACCCACTTGTTTCTTTCTCTATAATTATAATAAATATAAAAAAACAAAAAAAACACCTATAACTAATTACATATTCTACTTTCTTCTTCTTCCTCCTCTGTCATTACTACGAACAATTGTAAAAATTTAAAAAAAAAAAAAAAAAAAAAAAAAAAAAAAAAACACCTATAACTAATTACCAATATTTCTACTTTCTCTGCTTCGCTCCTCTGTCCATTACTACGAACAATTGTAAAAAATTTAAGAAAAAAGAAAAAAAAAAAAAAAGAAAAAAAAAAAAAAAAAAAAAAAAAAAAAAAAAAAAAAAGCCATGGATCTTAAAAATTTATATATTCTTACCTTACAAGAGAAAAGAGGAAAGAGAGAAACAGATGGCGAGTAGAGAGGAAAGTTAAAAGAAAAACAAAGAGAGAAAGAAAAAATAATGAACATGAAGAAGAAAAGATTAGAGAATTGGAGACGACTCTGCCTTCAAAAACCAGAAGAAGAAACAAACAGAGGTTGGAGGTTGATAGGTACTGGCCAGTGGCTACAAAGAACTTGAGGGTAGTAGAGAGGTAATGGAAGGCTTGCAAGCAAGGAATTAATGACTACTATTAAAATTGATTTTGGGTTAATGAATTTGTCTATTATTATCATAAGTTTCACCGCGTCAGAACAGAAGTGGTACCAGTGAGTGCGACACTGTAGTTACCAATGGGTCCATGTTTATCTTTTTTTTTTTTTTTTTTTTTTTTTTTTTGATTGATTTATTATTTATTAGTTAGTTTTCGAAATTGTGGGACCCATAAATAATGTTAGAACAGTAAATTGAATTTTTTTTAGATGGGCTGCCTAATAGACTTCAATAATATTATGCACTGTAAAATGAGTGTAATCTTCGGTGTAAACAATATTCACTAACTGTAGAAATGAATTTTACAAAATTTTATGAAATTTATTTATAAATTTATAATTTTGTATTTAAAATAAAAAAAATATAAATTTCAATTCTAGAAATTCATATGAAATTAAATGTAATTACACTTCATAAAAATAGATAAAATTTTCAAATGAATTTCATTAAACTAAGCAGTCCAATTTTTTACGACGAAACTATTATTCTCCTTTTATAAAGTTAATTTCTCAATTTTTTGTATATATTTAAATTATTTATTTATCAATTTGACCAAAACTATTTGAAAATTTTATTTTTTCAGAAAATTATTATATTATTGTATTTAGATTTTTTTAATATTTTTTACTATTACGGAGAGAGATTCAAGTTAAATATACATTTATCACTAAATTAAGTTCAATAAATTTATTAAGATTATTTTTGTTGTATGTATTTATTTTAATAAAATATAAAAAATTATGTAGCATGACATAAATTTAATTGATATTTATTATTTATTTTTAAAATTACTATTTGAATGATATTTTAAAAAATAAAAGTAAATGAATTTTTAAATATAAATTTATTCCATACATGATTATATAGAATTCAATTCAATGACATATTTTAAATTAACTATACCAAATATAAAAATTCATTCACAAATGAATTCTACTAAAATTCATTTATTATGGATCGAAGCATCAATTAACTATAAGTTTTGTGGTGTAGAAAATTCTAATTCGAAATATTTTACTCCCTGCATCTTTTATAAAACATAAGAAAAAATCAATCAGAAATCTGTAACACACATGATTGGCAGAAATTGAATCAAATTGTTTAATAAAAATAGCTAAATTTTAAGGATTAATTAAAAATAAATTATTTTATCAATTCTTTTACATGAAAATTAATTTATAGAAAATAAATAATTTAAAAGTATTAAAAAATACAAATTTAAGTTTTATATCACAAGAATTGAATCTAATTAGACTGATTTTAATCAATTAAACAAATAATATTATAATATATCTTAATCTTTTAAAATTATAATATTATTAGTTCGTAATAAATAAAAAACTTTTCATAATAATTTAAATTAATTTAGTAGATTTGCTTATCTTACGAGTATAAATTGACTAACAAAAGTTTTTTTTTTTCTGTTTTTTCTACTGTGATAAGACTCTTCTTTTTAGTTCAAAGTTTACGTACAAGACTAAACTTTATTATTTATATGATTGATTATTTGTCCATGGATAAGAGTACAGTAGGTAAGTTGCGAATTATTATTCATAAGAGGTAAATTTTATTGACTTGTAAATTGGCATATTCCAAAGTCAAATATAGTTTTATGTTTTTTAATTATTAAATTTAATTATTTATTTATTTTTTAATTTTTTAAGTAGAATTATAAATGAGTAGAATGATTTTATAATTTTCTTTGTCAAACTCAGCTTGAAAAAATTTTATAATTATTTCATAATAACTTTTATTTTTATTAATATTTTAATAAATTAAGAGTAAAAAAAAACAAAATAACTTTTATTGACTAAATTTTTAATATGCATGTTTTGTCAAACTGCGTAAACAAAATGGGACAGAGAAAGTATAATATTTTATTTTAAGTTTATTCATATTTCGAGCCTTGAGCCGAATTTGAGTCTAAATTTTCAAGTTTGTCGAATATCGAGAAATTTTATCAAGCCAAATTTCGAGTCTGACAGTTTTAAGCTCGACTTAACTCGTATACAGCCTTATTTTTATTTTTTATTTTTGGTTTTAATTATTGAGTTTTTTTTTTTTTTTTTTTTTTTTTTTTGAGTAGGATTGTTTTGAAATGTGATATTATTATTGTCTTTGGTTAATATTATTCTTTCCTTCTAATAAAATTATTAGGTTCAAATGATAACAAAAGTTTTACGAGCAAGTAACATAATTATGACGATAAATATTATTATTTAATTTAAAAATCTTATTTTCTATAAAAATCTAGTTTCTTCATCTTTTGAAATGAAAAAAATACTTCTCTGTATATAGGAAAATAGAGAGGGAGCCCATACATTTAAAATTTTAATTTTTATGAAAAAAAGTACCTATCAAATTTCGGAATATGACACTCTAGCGGGTAATACTCATAAGGTATTTTTTTTCAAAAAAAAAAAAAAAAAAAAAAATTTACCCCATAAGGATTGAAAAGAATTCATGGAATCCAAGATTTTTTTCAAAAAAAAAAAAAATACCCATAAGAGTTGAAAAGAATTCATGGAATCCAAGAAATAGTTTAATGAATGAGATTATTTAAAAAAAAAAAAAAAAAGCTTAATGAATGGGATTAGGGTTCAATTCAAAGTATAAATTAATTTTTTATAAATTTCAAAAGAAGTTTCTCTTTCTCTTTCTATATATATATATATATAAGAAAAGGTAAACTTAGCATCACGATTTGGAAGTTTATTCATGAAATTTCTAAGTTTTAGAGAATTGAGGAGAGAGGAAAAGTTAGGACTTTTTTTTCTATGAACTGCATTTAATTATTAGTTATCAATTGTGAATGGCTAAATGTTTGGTGAGTGAAAGTGATTGCACCATAGGTTGGTAATTTTTGTCGTTGAATTGGAAAATTATCAATAAAAAATGTAGCATGCATTATTGTTTCATGTAACGTGTTATATAAAAACGATGTTTATATCTGTTTTTTAGTAGGCTAATGTGGAATTTCCGTGGTTCCGGTTAAAAAAAATTTGACATCGAAATTGGCAGTTTTTTAGTTAAAATTTGGAATCGAACGGTTATATTTTTTATTTCGATTTCTTAATGGTTTCAAAATCAATGGTTCAAATTGGTTTTCGGACTGATTTTCTGGCAAATCGAAAATTAGAAAACATTTTTTTTATTGAAAATTGAAAATTTAAATATTTATGAAATAATTTTCATAGAAAAAAAAATTTAAGAAAAAATAGAAAGGCTTGAATTTAATTTATTTGTTTAAAAAAAGGCTTGAATTTATTTTTTTTTTAAAAAAAGGGGTAGAACATATTTTTTTTAAAAAAAATGAAAAAGGGGTATTTATAGTAAATATAAAAAATCAATTTTCCACAAAACTCTTAAAAGTAGTCGTTATATAGTTGTTAGGTGAGTTAATTTTTCATAAAAATATTTGAAAAAATAACAAAAAAAATTGCTAGAACCGGGTAGAACAGCCGATTCTAGCCGGTTGAAAAAACCATTGTTTCCAGTCAGTTCACGGTTGCTTAAAAGTTGAAACCAGAACCAGACTATAGACCTCTGGTTTTGATTCAAATTGATTCCAGTTCTTCACGATTCCAGTTCCCTCCGATTCTAAAAACCATAAAATGACCACCCGTGGCCTAATGCATAAATTTGATTGTTGAAATTATATTTTTTGCCTCGTCCACACTAGATGAGGTATTAGTTTGAAACGTCAACTTACTTTAGGCAAATCTCACGTCAGGAAAATACAAATTGAAAGTAATGCGTATAAAAATGAACGATCTTTAAACTAGCAAGAGACCTGCGAAATGTTTAAACTAGCAAAATTTTTAAGCACGAACACGCAATCAGATTTTTATGGTCCAAAAGATTTATCTGCGGAATCTTTGCTCTAGTGGGCTTGGGCATCAATAGCAGTGAAGCTATTATCATCAAGGCGTTTAGCTCTCCAATCTCCTTTCTCTGACTTCTCCAAGGATGCTACAACCAACCTTGCCCTTCTTGACCATCCAGCCTTCCCATAGGCATATTATCCAAACCCACCAACATAACAAAGGTTTATAACAGTTAGTTGACCACAAAAATCATTCAAATTATCATGTCCTGCAGAAACAAACTTCACATCCTCCTGCTTCCACCATAGAAGTAAAGAAATTAGAGTTCACATCAGCTATAAAATTATTATCGGAAATTCGACCCGGATGAGATCATGGGAAACCCAAAGAAGCTAGTACAGTAACGAACATCCAACGTATAGAGGAGTCCAAATACGCACTTGGGGCAAATAGGTATGAGATATCCAAAAGAAGAACTGGATATTGGATAGAATGCTTAAGAAAAATTGTATTTTATTTTTATCGTGTTTATTTTTTGAATTTTTTTTAGTTCTGGTTTTTGCCTATGCTCATCTTATGTTTGATGAAATACTAAAGAGAGATATTTTGTTTCATTTGATGCAGAGATGAAGATGAAGACATGCTGGCAGTATTTCAAAGTGTCACTGTCCTTGGGCGTTTGAGGCTCACACATGCTTTGCCAACCAGCTAGGTGCAATGTTAGTGTTGAAAAGTAATATTTTTAGGACAAGGTACGTCCGCCCTAAATTTAAGATTGCCACAAAATTAAAAATATTAATTTCAAAGATAAAATTATGCATTAACCCTTTTTTAACTGACGAAAAAAACAAAGAGAAAATAGTTGTTGAAAAGTTTCATACTTCAATTTTTTTTTTTTTTTTTTTTTTTACTTCAATTTTTTTTTTTTTTTTTTTATTGTTCAACCTAAAACTGTGAACCTGAAATTTTTTTTTTTTTTTTTTTTTTATTGTCAACCTAAAACTGTGAACTGAAATTGACAAAGATATAGAAAATTTTATATTTCCCGTTATTATCTTTTAGTTATTTTTCATTAGTTTTAATTTATCTTCACTTAATTAGCCTAACTCTATTGTTATTCGATTTGACTACATTTAATCCTATACATAAGATAGTGTTTAACGT